CACCATGTCGATTCGTATTGAGATGTTGTCAAAGATATATTTACATTTCCAAGTATTTTCCTTAAAATTCTTTGCAGATTAAAAGACTGCTCATATTGACGGTCGATATCTTTCGGGAAGACAAATATTTCAATTATCGATTGTTCGTCAATATAACATTATATAGTGAAAATATCTTACTGAGTATAACTATACTGTTTAGAACATGTCGTTAATTCATAATTCTATTTAATAATAAGCATTTAACTTGATATCGATTACATAATCTAAACGTGACAATGAACACATTGTTAGGTACAGAGATTTATATCAATTTATAACTTGCCAGTTAATGTATCCGATGATGGTTGATAATTAGCATCTGGCAATATGTTTATTTTTTTTCGGTGAATCTGTGTCCATGTCCCTTTAAGTATTAAATAATAATGTAAGATCTTGAATCTTTATTTCAGAAATCAAACCAAACGTGTTACCCAGGAAGAAAATAACAATAAAAGCAGATTGTTTTTATGCGCCGGGATCTAAAGATCCGAGGCGTATATTGTTTTTCTTTATGCGCCCGGATCGAAAGATCCAAGGGGTATATTGTTTTTGTCCTGTCTGTCAGTCTGCCTGTCTGTTTGTCTGTTTATCTGTTTGTCTGCAAACTTTAACCTTCGCCATAACTTTTGAAATATGAATAGTTGAGACTTCCGATTTGGTATGCATACTCCGCTAATTAAGCTCTTTCATATGACATACAGGTCAACGACCATGTGACCTTGACTGTGACCTATATGCTAAAAATAATTTTTTCTTTTACTCGTCATAAGTTTTGAACCATAAAAGATAGAGACTTAACAAACAAAAGACGAGTATCTCACTCACCTTGAAAAGTCCATTCAAAGAATAAGACAAAGTGAAAACTCACATCTGTGGTGGGGGGGGGGGGGGCTTCAATCTAGGAGGTATTGATTGGACAACTTATTTCACCATACCAAATTCACAGAATACAAAACAGTGTAAGCAAATGTTAGATATTTGCCAGGATAATTATGTTGAACAAGTGGTTTCTAAACCAACACATATAACAGCTACATCACAATCAACAATTGATCTTTTCTTCACTTTCAACAGTTCCCTTGTGAACAAAGTAGAAGTTATACCTGGTATATCCGACCATGAAATAGTTTACATCGAAGCTAGTTTAAAACCAAAAAAAGTTTATAAAAAAAACGCGAAGGAAAATCTATCTCTACAATAAAGCAAACACAGAGAAAATCAAAGAGAATATACAAAACATGAACCTAAACAGTCAAAATCCATTACAAGATCAGAATATAGACAATTTGTGGGGTGCATTTAGAACCAAAGTATTGGATATCATGAATGAAAACATCCTATCTAAAATGATAAATAATTCAAAAAAAGGTTGCCTTGGATAGATAGGAAAATTAAATCACTAATTAGAAAAAGAAACAAACTCTTCAAAAATATGCAAACAACAAACAGTACAAGCACCAAGAAATACAAAGACATAAAACATCAATTACAAAGGAAAACAATGAAAGCATATTGGACTTATTTAGAGAATATAAGTTGTTATTATGAAAATATAGAGACTTCACAAAAACAGAAAAAGTTTTGGAATTATATTAGCAATATCAAAAAAAACAGTTCATGAGTAGCCCCTTTAAGATAAGGATATGGAGATAACGAACAGTATTCAATCTCAACGTCCATTAAACAATAAACAAAATAAGAGCAAAGCAAACACGGACCTCCGAAACATCAGAGGTGGGATCAGGTGCCATGGATGAGTGAGCATCCCCTGCCGATCGGTCACACCCGCCGTGTACTCCCCCTTGTCATGATCGGGAAATAACAGAAAAATCCGTCGTCAATTCAGTGTATAAATAATAGACTAGCAAAAACATCAGTCAGCATATGCATTGACTCAATGAAAAATTGTAATTGCTGACAAGGTCATTGTATTGACCATAGAATTTACGAAATGATGACTTTAAACGAGACTGTTGATATTCTTGTTTCATCAACTTGCTTGTCAATAATTCACCTCGTTTAAGAAATTGTTCATACGTAGAGCATGCTCTTGCGTATCGAATCAACTGAGATATATATACTCCGTATGCAGGTGATGAAAGTATATTGCTGCATAAGTAAGGGAAGTTGACGATAGAAAAGTTAAAGTCATCACGTTTATCATATAGCTTGGTTGTTAGATTACCATTAGTGTCTTTTTCAAGTAAAATATCCAAGTATGAAGCAGAAGTGTTGGACTCTGTGGTATCTTTTATCTGAAAGATCTGAAGGGATACTCATTGATGATACCAAACAGAAAGCTGAAATTCTTAATAAACAATATCATTCAGTTTTCATACCTGAAAATGACCAAGAACATATACCACAATTGAATGACAACTATCCATCCATGCAAGATATATACATAACTGTAAATGGCACACAAAAATTATTAGATAAATTAGATCCTAGCAAAGTCACAGGGCCAGATGAAATACCAGCTCGCATCCTTAAACAATGTTCATCTAAATTCGCTCCACATCTTGCACATATTTTTAACATCTCATTGACAGAAGGGGAGGTACCTGCAGACTGGCGTCAAGCGAATGTCATTCCTATATTCAAAAAGGGGGAAAAATATTTGGTTAGTAATTATAGACCTGTCTTATTAACATGCATTTGTTGTAAAATTCTAGAACATATAGTTGTCAGCAACGTTTTGAACCATTTAGATCAATATGATATTTTAGTAGATTGTCTACATGGATTTAGAGCTAAGAGAAGTTGTGAAACTCAGCTACTTACTCTTAGCCATGAATTATTGGAAAATTTACACTCAAATACTCAAACTGATTTGAATATACTAGACTTCTCAAAGGCATTCGATAAGGTGCCTCACCAGAAGTTGCTGAGAAAGTCGGATAACTATGGAATACGTGGTAACATCTGGAGGTGGGTTTGCTTTTCTCAGCAACAGAGTACAACAGGTTGTCTTTGATGGTGAGGTATCTAGTCCAATGCCTGTGGTCAGTGGGGTTCCTCAAGGGTCAGTCTTTGGGCCCCTTCTATTTTTAATCTTTATAAATGACCTACCATCTTCTGTTACATCAAATACAAGGCTCTTTACCGATGACTGTATCCTGTATCGACCCATTCATAACCAAAATGACTGTGTAATTTTTCAAAAAGATCTTGACTCGTTAGCTAATTGGGAACATATCTGGGGAATGCAATTTCATCCTCAAAAATGTAATTCACTTAGTATAACCAGATCTCGCACACCAGTAAAATATACCTATAATCTGAAAGGACACACATTAGAATCTATAAAGACAGCAAAATATTTAGGGGTAACATTATCTTACAACATGTCTTGGGAACCGCATATTAATAATATAACTTATAAGGCCAACAAGATACTGGGTTTTCTAAAAAGAAATTTGCAGATAAAAAAATGAAGAAACAAATCTTTGGCATATAAATCAATGGTCAGGTCTAACCTCGAATACTGTTCTTCAGTTTGGGCACCTTATACAAAAAAACTTAAAGATAAACTAGAAAATGTTCAAGTCGAGCTGCAAGATATGTCACAGATACCACAATACTAGCAGTGTCTCAGATATGTTACACTATCTAAATTGGCCAGCATTAGACAATAGAACAAATATATGTGGACTTATAATGTTATTTAAAATTATACACAAATAGTGGCTATAGATCAAAACCTTTATTTAGTACCCCAGACAACGACCATTACACTTAATACTAGTCCCCATCACTTTCAGACCTTCAGCACTCGAACAGATTATTATAAATTTAGCTTCTTTCCCATACAGTAACCTTATGGAATTCTCTCCCACACTCAGTGGTGGCAGCGGCCTCCCTGGACCAGTTCAGAACTCTGGTCCCAAGCTATGTCCCATAACTCTTATATTTATAAAAATAAGTAGAACACAATGTAAATACGCATTTTTATGCACAATTTTGTAAATTGTTTTTCATTGCACTAGGTTTATTTATACCTTCTATGGCACTTAGTTGTTTTTATTTCTTTTTTCACACATGTTTTATGATTAAAATTTAGAGGTCCGTTTGCGCAGGGCCAGCGTATAATCATCAAGATTGATGGAACGCTGTAATATGTAGATGTAGATGTAGATGTAGACGTTGATTGTGTCCTATATGCTAAAGTTAATTTTTTAACCTTCGCCATTACGTTTGGACCATGATAGATAGAGACTTCATATTTGGAATACATTCTTCACTAATCGAGTTCTTTCAAATGACACCAAGATCAATGACCTTGTGACCTTGACTGTGACCTATCAGCTAAAATATGTTTGTTTTTTTTACTTTGTTGCCACCGGGTGCAATTATCAGAAATTTACAAAACACAATACACGAACAATTTCAGCTATCCTCTTTAATTCCTGTAACGGGAACTATATAGTCAAGCACCTTCAGTAATCTAATAACCAAGCTATATGATAAACGTGATGAATTTTACTTTTCTATCGCCAACTTCCCTTACTTATGCAGCAATATACCCTCATCACCCGCATACGGAGTAAATATATCTCAGTTGATTCGATACGCAAGAGAATGCTCTTGACGATAGAAAAGTTAAAGTGATCGCGTTTATCATATAGCTTGGTTGTTAGATTACCATTAACATCCAATATCCAAGTATGAAACAGATGTGTCAGACTCTGCGGTATCTTTTATTTCAAGCTCACCAGGATAGATCACATTGACAAAAGAATGGAAATAACAATTGTTAATTGACAATGCATCGATATGTCTAAATGTCGAGTTGAAGGCAACGGCAAGTGCTTTCTTCTTTTCACGCGTAGGATTTTGCAAAAGTTCTGCCTCATATGAATACAAAAGTAGTTCTGTTAATAAGGGGTTGGTGGTAATATAAAGACAGGGTGAAATATTCGAGGGCCGAAATCACTGGCTACCGCTAAGATCTTGCGTTGAAAAGTGGAAATCCCAGAGAAGTAAAATGAACCTCTAGTAGATGTGTCTTAGGATTCAATCTCGAAATATAGGCTACAAATATCTGCATTTCATTATTTGAAAAAGTCAGAGCATTAAAGAATATCAAGTAAGCTTTTAAGTGTCAGAAAAACAAATAAATTAAAACAAAGCGCATAGTGGCGAACTTTCGTTTTCATGCACAGCTACTTGAAGGTACAGACACATTTAATGCTTACATGTTTATAAATTTTGCAAATAAACTGCCAGGAAAAGGGTTCAAAATGACGTTAGGTATAAGATAAGGCCTAATAACAATGTGAATCGTAAGTCTACTTTCGTTTTAGGAAAACAATGGTGATTCACGGCTGGAGGATCTAAATTACTTCAAATTTTAAAAACGCTGACAACAAGCAGTTTATATGATCGATTAAAAATAGTTTCACTATCTATTATTAGCCAAACTCTTTTAGAAATTCTTTCATTTTCATTTATTGGAAACATTCTTCTATAGTATGATTTTCCCAATTAAAAAAAAAATTCGTGTTAATTTTTCAGATTCTACAGACCCTGGACCCAGTTTAAAATGGAAGGAAAACTTTGGAGACATCAATTCAATTGGTATTTTCAGAATTAGAATGTGAAAATAAAAATGTTGACTTATTTATGAAAATAAAAATGATGACTTAGTCATTATGCTTATAAAGCATTGTACATAACCTCTTTGACAGGCATAACAGAAATGAAATTCTTGTCTGGTAATCATAGTAATACTTAAGAGTTTCCTACCTAATAAGACTTACCTTAAGTTATGTTCAAAAGTGTGCCCCTGAGCCTACTCTATGTCAATCTAATTAAAATTAGATGTTAGATCAGCTCGCATACTCGCTACACTAACGATGTTAGTGTAGTGAGTATGCGAGCGGATATAACATCTAATTTTAACTAGATTGACTCTATGTATATGAATATTTGTCAAGGTTACCGGGTTCAATGTTATTAAATTCTATCTATCAATAACTAAAAGATATAGGAAAACATATTTACTGAAGACACAACTGCAATGAATAAATGACACCTACCTAAGGTAATTTAGACATAAAAAAAAAACTACAAATGCACGAGGAAATTCTTTCTTTGGTCATAACTTTGCCGTAGCAAAAAATAAGAATATCCGACACAAAACTTCGTGATCAGAGTTTCCCTAATTTAATGGTGCAATAACTTTAGAAGATCATACTTGTACAACAACCTGTAGTGATTCTTTTTCTTCCTATGATATAATAGGACCATTAGATCAAATCACCGAGTAAAAAAAATGTAAATTTTATAAATCTTAAAAAATTTAAAAAAAAAAAAAATTTTTTGTTATTGAGGAAGTATTTTGAGGTCACATATGGCATGCGGGTTTGTCGCTGTGTACATAAAGTAACACAACTACAAAGTTAAAAGTTCATTTGGACACATTATTTTAATTCTTGAATTGATGTAGTCTTATCTTTTCTGCTAAAAAAAAACATAAAAAATATACATACATAACATTTTAACAAGTCAGTAAATTTGCAGAATGGCACTCTAGCAAACAGGCTGAAATCAGTGAACAGTATTTTAATTTAAGCAATTTTACTAGTTGCCTTAGTGCATGAGCAATGTGTAGTTTTACTAAGATAGTTCTAATTTGTTTGTTTATTATCAAATTTTTGGATTGTTTGTTACATTTCAGAAAAGCATTAGAAGATTACTATGGCCTCTTCCTCTTACGCGTCTACAGAAGAGACGACAAATGCCTGTAGAGCCTGCCGACTTATCCTGGGTCCATGTACAGATGAGTTACGTGATGTTTTACGTCATTATGTACCACCATCAACATTTCCACATGTCATTAAAATAAAGAGGAGTAATCTCCCCCGTCTGACAGCTCAACAGATGAATCTTATTTTACCGAGGGGTAGTAGTTATACAGGAAACTATGGTGATATGGACATTTCATTATTGTATATACTACTTAGAAACATTGGTGGTATACCACCACACAGTAATGGCTGGGGATATGATCCAGACCCTACAGATCTCTCTCTCTCTCTGCCAACATTGAGAGAATCCGTATTGCCAGAAATCAGTGTGTACATTCTTCTAGCCCAGTCCTCTCTAATGCTGACTTTAACACAATCTGGTCCACTGTCAGATCAGCAGTTGTGGACCTTGATTCTTTCCTTAGCAATGGGAACCAGTATGAAAGAGAGGTGGACTTTTTGAGACATGAGACAATGGACCCTGTCCATGACCGCCATTACATAGAAGAACTGAGGAAACAGGCTGAAGAAGATGCAGAAACAAGAAAAATGGTCCAAGGCCTGAAACGTAATTAAGATGACAAAGTTTGACATTTAATTTATGAATAAATATTTTATAAAACAATGTTTGAATTTGTATCTGCAGTCAATGCATACTTTATAGTTTTTTTTTCTTCTAGGAAAATTAATAAAGAGTGAAACAGACAGAATTAAAAAACACAGAAAAATGCTAAAAATTGTTGGTAAGTATATTTATAATAAAGAAAAAATCGATTACCTTTTTCTTGAGATAAAATTTAAGTTTTTTTAACTGCTTTGAAGAGAAAAGTCTTTCAAATCAAAATTTGTTTTAAAGAATGACTGCACTTCAGCCACGAGAGTTGGATCCCGATGTTTTGCGCAAAAATGAAATTCAAAAATTCATTAAATTTATGTTATTTATGTATTAAACAATATCTTAAGAGCAGGTTTTGGTATATTATATAACATGAAAGTATTGCCGAGCGAAACTAGCTTTTGAAACGGGGGTCTTACAGTTTTGTCTCATTTCTATTGTTATTCATGTGCATACCAGTTTTCAACGACATTGTTTACATCGAGCCGCAACCTGGCATTTTTCTCATTTGCACAGAATGTGTATTTTAGCTAAAACTTATACATATCCAAAGAACAATGTTGGCCAAGTTGCGGCTCATATCTAATTTTAAAAAAAAATGTACCCAAACTTCGCTCGAGTTAGCTACTAAATTAGCAGGTCACCGAGTGTCAGCCGATGTGACCCGTTTGATATTATAATCACTTTTCTCGCATGACATTCAAGTGTTCGATACGTTTTCATTGTGTCAGTCTTTGGAAAATCCTTTTTCTATTTACTTCCATCTTCAAAATATTGAAGATCCTTGTACATTTTATTGGCGTTTTAAAGTTTACGTTGACTTCTTTTACTATAAAATTATATACATTTGTTCGGGATATTTTAAAGGAAAGAGGTATCATTTTGCTGATTACATGCTGTACATATAGCAGTGGCGGACCCAGAGATTTTGAAAAAGGGGGACCCGACCAGTTTTAGGTCAGGGTAGGAGCCCACAGTCACACAAAAAAACCCATTGATTTATCTAATATTGTGTATTTTTTGGACGCAAATCCGCCAGTGTATAGCGCTGTATATAGGTAATATTTTGACTTGGGTGTATTATTAAAAATAATCAAGGTAAGTACATTTTGGGTTAGTTCTTGTGGTGGTTGTTGTAGCTTTCCGTAATTTGTTAGGACGATTTCCTCAGACGCATGCCGGGGTACATATTTTGGGTTTTCCCGGCCACAGCAAAACATGAACTTTGACATTATAACCATATGGGAGGCGGGGGATCATTTAGTGAGCTCATTGCTTACATGCAATACCTCTAGTCTTAATATACTATGAACTTTGCATTTCAGTTGAAAGGTCTTGATGGGGCTATAATGATCAATGCCATTACAAAAGATTTAAAAATATGAGATCATGGTTTATTGTAGCAAAATCAGATACAATTTACTTCAACATTATAATCAAAGTACTTGAAATAAAAGTTTTTTCCCAACTATGAGACACTGTTAATGGCACATCATTAACATCTGAGCTGGTTAACTAAACATTTTATTTATTTTTACGTAACTAATAAGTCCACAATTATTATTTTTTAATACACTGTAGGTACGAACACATGATTATTTTCAGACTTAGTTAAAAGCATTCTAATTAAACTTTAAAAGAACATTAGGTAGAGATAATTATATACAGTGCTTGATAATGTAGAAGCCGAAATTCATGTTTTTCAATGCACTGTCCTTTGTACTCTGAATACCGAACAAAACTTTTTTGAAAATTAATTCTGCCAATAATCTATGGATTTACTATGTGTATTTATTTCAAATTATCCTGTAGACAGGTTGCAAAGTATCTTTCATTTATTCGAAGAACGTCTATTATGTTCAGAAAATAAAAAAAGATGTATTTCAGTGTCATTTTCATCCACCAATAATTCTTAAAACAGACTCTACCAACCTAAGCGTACAAAATGCATACATATTTATCACAATTGTGTTTAATTTTAGAAACTTTTTGTTTTTCTCTTAATGCTCTGCTCTTTATTTTCTATATAAATTGTATTTCAATTTTGTGTTTAAAATGGCATATAGGCCGTATGGGCCGGGTTTTGTTTTTTTTTCTATAAAGTTTGTAAACAAAAGAGAATTTTTAAAATAATTATGTGCATATGTCTAGATAAAAAAAATTACAGTACTTAACTTACTTACCTACTTTACTTACTTACGTGGATACAAATTAATGAAATTATAAGCATGGTTATTAATCATTTATTTTTTTGTACACAATGAACACAAAACTATCCTCTTCGTTTTTTTCATATATAATGTAGATTTAATACGGAAAACCATATGCTTATGTTCCATTTCCATGCGATTTAAATGTCTCCGCCTCTTTCTGCGACCTTAAAATCGAAAGCGGTCCAGTTCAATTTTCCGGAATTTATGGCTTAAACATGTTCTCTTCAATAGCGTTGTATCTAGTTATAGAAATACATATGACTGTAAAATTGAGACATATGTATCAAAAGCATGTACACAATGTGCACAATAATCCTTTATTAGTTCAGCGATACGTTATAATCAGAAGCTTTAAATGGGTAGCCGAAAAGGTTCCAAATAACGTCCTTAAGTGCAGTCATTCTTTCAAAGATGTCAAAATTCGATATCTAAAGCATATAGCTCAGTTCTGGTTGGCATTTGATAATTTTCATACAGATTTTAGGACTCATCCTGTAAACTTGCATATATGTATACTTTAAAAGCTAATTTGTTAAAGTAATCATTCTTGTGAATAATAAAAACAAACAAAACAAAAGTGGTTTTGATGTTAAAAAAAAATAGACGAAAGATATGGAGATAACGAACAGTATTGAAGATCAAAAGTCCATAAAACAATACAAAATTGGAACAAAACAGTGATAGTTGGTTTGCGATACTTAGGATTTTGAGTTGAGTAATGAGCAATCATTCCATTCATACGGGTCCGCGCACATTGGTTTTGAAATAGTCGCATTTCAAATTTAATTGAATTCTTGAAAAAATTATAAAAAAAATGTTTATTATGCAGAGATAATTCCGGAAAAGAGTTCAACGATCACATTTTCTTAGTTTCGTAATCTAATTTTGCTTCAATTAGCCATTTTCACAGAGACAAAGCAATAGCTCGAGAGGCTACGTTTGAAATACGTTCGAAGATAATGGCTACGAAGTTCACACGTTGGTAAGCAATGGATAAGGCAAACCTATTGATCAAATATGAAAAGTATCACCTGTATGGAAATTGGAAAATATGTGATGAACACAGAATTTCTATCATTATTGTATAGAAAATTCGGTATTAAAAATACCTCTCTCGTCTACCCCTATCGCCAATAAAATGATTGAAAAAAGCATCTGTTTTAAAGAAAATTGACCTGAGGACTAGAAAATAAAATTTATGTAAACTGAATTCAAATTCTTTTAAATCGTAAAAAAGTGTATCGAATTTTGAAGCAATGTCCAATTGGATTACAATGTAAATAGCATCTCCTGATATTTACATTATTTATATTTTGCACGGAAACTCATTAAACAAAGGGGTCCATGGGCATCTTTGTTTAATATAACATTGTTATATCATTGGAACAAACTTGAGTTTTTTGATAATACTTGACGATGCTTCAATATGAATGACCATTTATAACTTTGTGGCTAAACTCTACCAATAATGGCATAACTGTTCTTGAGAAGAAGATTTTTATGCCCCCTTCGAAGAAGAAAGGGCATATTGCTTTGCTGCTGTCTGTCGGTCTGTCGGTCCACTTAGTTTCCGTTCATTTGCTTCGCAACCGTTGCACATACTGGAATGAAATTTGGTATACAAATATATCACATTAATATCTAGGTCAAGTTCTGTTTTAGGTACGGTCACACCATTTTTGACATAGTTATGCCCCTTGGACTTAGAAAAATTTCAAATATTTGCAGTTTCCATTCATTTTCTTTACAACCGTTGCACATACTGAGATGAAATTCGGTATACAGATTTATCAGATGAATATCTAGGTCAAGTTCTGTTTTGAATACAATTGCGCCTTTTTGGCAGAGTTATGCCCCTTGAACTTAGAAAAATTTCAATTATTACCAGTTTCCATTCACTTCCTTTGCAAGCATTGCACCTACTGAAATGAAATTTAGCGTACAGATTTATCTAATGAATATCTAGATCAAATTTTGTTTTGGGTACCATTGGGCCATTTATGACAGAGTTATGTCCCTTGGACTTTACTTAGAAAAATTCCAATTATTTGCAGTTTTTTCTCATTTTTTTAATTTATATTTTTTTCTCATAATAAACAAAGAGATAGCTGAACATATTTACATTTATGCCATACACACACACACACACACACACACACACACACACACACACACACACACACACACACACACACACACACACACACACACACACACACACAAACCCTTTCACACTATCCATTATCCTTTTATAGATAATATTAAAAGAAATAGAAAAAAAAGGTAAATACATGTAAATCCAATTTGTCACTATTTCCTCTAACACCTTATAACATTGTGCATAAATTATCCGAATTATTTTAATACATAAATTCTTTTATCAATATGAGGATAAAAAAGAGATAAAAAGAAAAAAAAAGAGAAGACAATAACAATAGTGAATGACATTTGAACTGTCACTCATCAAATCAGGTTTCCATGTAGACCATATGGAATTAAAATACACAATTTTATTCTTTTGGATCAAAACAAATTTTTCAACATTATATTTGATTCTTAGATGACATAAGAGTGCACTGAGATTTAGCATTTTCTTCTGCATCAAACAAGTAAAGATATATTGTTTAGTGTGTAGTATAATAAAATTTGTGACACGATAGCGGTGTTTTTCTTTGAAGTTTACTGTTCTGTATTAGCAATACAGAACGGGACTGTGGTGGGCGTAGCTACTTTCCGTTCTGTATTAGCCTTGTATACAGTATTGTATTTGCCAACTATTCTGTATCTAAAATATAGAACGGTCGAAAAATGAATCTGACTCAATTTAGCAAAGCTAGCACGTACACATAATAAATACTGATGTTTTCCTATTATTAATATTTAAGGAATACCCTGTATTTTCCTGAGAATGTAG